GCCACAAGGCCCCAGCAGTCCATGCCTTTCCGACAACCTGGTCCAGGTATTCAGCTTGTTTGAGAGCTGATAATGCTGAGGGCTATACACAGAGAGCTCAGAGCAACCCATCCTGCTTGAGGAAAGCTCTGTTAAATACATCTGCTTCCTCACCTGCTCGATCCAAACCCTGCTTCAGTTCCGACAGGAAGTACTTGTGCCTGTGCCATATACTCCAGCTGGCTTCTTCCAGAGGGCTTTTGGCTTTGATGAAGGAGCTTGCAGCTCCCAAGGAAATTCTGTACAGATGTACCCAAACCTCAACAACTTCTAATCTCTCAGCCTTTTACTTCTTTTTGTGCAAAGAGAGATGTGAAACTGCACCAGGAGCCCAAGCTTGCACTTGGAGTAGCTGTGCTCTGAGCGCTTCAGGCTTGGTATTCAGGATGCCATTTCGCAGCCTCAGATGAGCTAAGGCATCATGCTTTGTCCCATGATTGGTGGGAAGCAGCCCTGAAATCCCACAACCCTGACACACACTCACGTTTTATTAATCTCTGAACACTGCTGCAGCCAAATGAAGAGAAAAAAAACCAAATGGTTTCTTTTTCTTTCACAAGTGAAAGTTTTACTCAAAGCTTCTCAAAAATTAGGCAGCAGTGGAAGCACAGGAGACTGGGGGGGGTGCAGTGGCCAAAAGGGCACTGACAATAACCGTGTGCCATACACTAAAGAAAAACAGTATTCCTTTCTCAGAAGAAATCACTTTTTCAGAGCACAGCATGCTAAAATACGGACAGCATGTGGATTTTGGTTAGTTCCAGGAAGCAGCAGACTCGTATCAGGGTGAAAAACCTTAACGATTTCAGCTGGAAAGCTAAAAGCAGTAGAAATACAAGTGCTGCAAGGAGCCACCCTGTGGCACCAGCAAGCTAAGAGAACGGAGGGCAAGCCAGGGTAAGACACTTGTGTGGGGAGTTGTGTTGTGGGTTTTCGTTTTGAAACTCACACCAGACAGAGTGACAAAAGCTGGAACTGCCCCAAACAGACACTTATGTGGCAGGGAGCTCCTTAATGGAGGAACTGAACTAGAAAAGCAGAGGGGCAGCAAGCCCCATCAGCTCGTGCCCACGCACCACTCACCTGCCAGGCCTCACAGGGGCAAAGCTGTCAGAGGGACATCAGCCTTCCCCACTGCCTCATCCTTGGCAACACAACAACAGCAGCAAGAATTAATACCACTCCCAGTACTATTCCTTTCTGTGGAAGTTTTCTGACACAGTAACCTCCCTCAGAACAAGGATAACAACATATTCGTCTCTCAAGGCTAATTTTAGGACCTAACCAAAGACTTTAAGGGGGGAACAGGTGGAAAAGGCTCCTGAGACAGCACATCATGACTGTGTGGGCACACACAGAGCTGTGGGCAGGCGCCCCAAACCCGCACTTTCCCCTTCGAGTCTCCTGGAGCTGCTGCCTGGGTACTGCCAGTTCCCAGTGCTGATCTGGACTGCTGGAAGGCAGCACTTGCTGCAGTGCCAGCGGCACAGAGGTGGTAAACAACTCGCTCTCATTCCCAGACTCGCTGCTTAGATTACTGAAGTACAAGGGATTGCATAGCTTTCCACCTATACTCCGATTTAACAGCCCAGTGACTGACTGCTCTCCTCAGCCACCAGTTCCCATTACTGCTGGATATGAGACACTTGGTTAGACGGGCTGCCTCTTTAATGGGAAATACCAGTGAGCTCCTATAAAAACGGAGTAACACCACAGGACTGACCTACTCCACAACATCCGCACTCATGAGGACGTTCACTTTCGGACCATGACATGAACTGACAGGCTCACAGTTGGTTTTGTTTTCACCATGCAGAAGCAGTGTTAAGGAGTCCCGTTTCCATCTTTGATGGCTCAGTAGAACATACCTCTTCTTATATGGAGAGACACAGCTATCGCAGCACTGGCAATTTCTGACCTTTGTCCTTAATAAATGGAAGGCACTGACTGTATCTAAGAATGAAGTCACACACCCGACGGAACTGTCAGCTGACATAAAAATACAGCAACTCATCTGCTTAGCAACACAAGCTGCCACCAACATCACTTCCTTCTTAAACACAAAGTTCAGTTCACAGGCTCCACCCTGACTCAGAGCTGCCTGTAAAATTGGATCTGACTCGCCGCCAAGAGGTCAGGTCTCCTCCTCGCTTGCTCTGAGCCGGACTTTCCACAGCAGCTATATTTCACTGGAACTTCCTAATGCACAGCCCGGGGGAGGCAGGCCGGCAGGCAGGGAGGGAGGGAGGGAAGGAAGGAGGCAGGGAGGTAAGCACCGCTGCAGTCACCGAGTTCACCTGCCAACGCTGACTTTCATGTTTCTGTTCAGCTGTCCTTCAAGACAGATTTGTCAGAGCAGGTGCTGAATAACTTGTTCCTTCTGTGGACTGGGGAGCAACAGGGACCTGTCACGGTTACTTCCTGGGTTTGCACACGCAAGAAGCACCCATGTGCGACGTTCCCAGCTATACCTACACATGCTGTTGTTACTTGGGAGGTCATTTAAAACCCGTGGCCAAACACACATTTATCATATCATTGAAAAGTACTAATAAATTTATTATTCTACTTATGTTCACCAAGAAAAAGTGCATTTACAATTGTTTCTTCAGACTGTCACACTACAAATGCAGTAAGGAACACCTTAAATATGTTCAGTTTTATCACTTTTCCATGTATTTTTTTGTAAGTGCTTCATAAAATTGCAAGTCAACAATTAAAAAAAAACCCACATTTATTTATATAGTTAAGTTAGCTGTGGTTTCTGAGATTCCTTTTCTACTCTGAAGGAGGATCAACTAATAGGATGATACCACTTTTTCATTAAACTCAGGTCCACTCCCCTCCCTGCTTGGTAAACTTCTATGAAGAAGACTGAGAGGGATCTGAGGAGACCATCTGGTCCCCCCCTGGCCACACGCAGATGGGATAAAGTAGCCCCAGACAATCCCCAACAGATGTTTGTCTAACCTGTTCTTAGAAACCCTCCATGAAGCAGATACTCAAACTTCCTAAGTAGCTTGTTCTGGTATTTCACTGTAACGATTTAAAAGTTATTGCTGTTGCATCTCTCCCTCCTCTCCTAATACCCAACTTAAATCATCCTCCCACCCGCCTAACAGCTAGTCTGAGACATTTTCCCTCTGTACAGATCTCGTATTTCCCACAGCATTCAAAAAGTTGCTCAAACCTCCCTAACCTTTTACACATTGGAAAATGTATGCAATTCCCCTCTAATAATTCAACATCCTCCCTCCCTTTACCATTTCCTTTTATATTTTACAGCTCTTATTTTATCTCGCCTTGTCCTGTGCTTAGATCTTCAGCACAGAACATGAAACCAAAGGCAATGCTGCAGTTGAAGCCTCACCGGCACTTACTGGAGTCATCCTCACATCTTTCTCTATGACTTACATATGCCACCTATTGATAAATCCTAAGAGAGCATTGCATTTTGCAAAAGCATTACATTGTTCATTGCTATTTTGTTAGCGATTGTCTACAAACTCCCTCTAACCATCTACCTTGGTTTATCCAAGAAACTGGTTATTGTTTTCATTTCTGCATGTTTTTACTTTTCCAAAAGGGCATGTGTGGAAAATTTGGTTTCAGAAGGACAGAGAGACAAACATTAAATCACTGTATGCTTGCTTACAGAGAGAATAAAATAAATTCCTCCTTCCACTATTTCAGATCCACCCCTAAGAAAACAGCCTCATACACAGTTAAGCTTAAAGCTTATGGAAGACTTCTGCTGCAACAGAGTAGCGAAGTTGTCCACTGTGGTCTGGATTTCACTAGCACAGAACACTTTTAGAGGTGGGCCACAACTCTTGAGTATGAATCAATACTCTGTTATGGAAACATAGCAGCAGAAAAAGAGAACGCACTCCTACTGCAGCCTACACTAATTACTGTGGAGCCTGGGACATTCAAAAAGTGTGAGACACATTCAGCAAGCATGTAAGTACTTACTCGTATAGTCTTTCCAGTTTCTCATAATCCAGCCAAACGTGTATCCCTTGTGCAGTACTTCACTGCAAGTAAAGACACAACTGCCTGGCTAAGTAGAGTTTGATCATCCAAGTATTTAAAACAATGCACTAGGAACTGAACCTTACAAATACTGAATTTAAAACTTAATTTAACAAAAGGTACTCTGATAGTAGCAACTCAGAGATCAAGGAACACCACTCTTCCTGTGTATATATTCAGAGCAGACATGTTAGATCTGATTCCCTGAGATGCTGCATGCTTGTCGTGCATGCTGACAAGTATTTGTTGTTGGCATGTATTGATTTGAAAGTAGAGGTGTTGAATAGCAGTGAGTGCCAGCCGTGAAGAAGTAAACCTAGAGACACAGGCCAGTGTTCAAAGCACCACCACCACCAACACCAGCTGACCCCTCATTTTGTATCCCTCCACTCTGTACCTTTTCTGCTCCTGTCTTGTGTAGGTAACTAAAATTTGTCCTGTCCTTAAAGATGAACACTGCAGCTCTGCAGTGCTGAGGTAACTCCAGTGGAATACCTGACAGAAACCCACCTTTCCTATGCACAAGTTTGTTTATACTTTGGGTATTACAAGTAACTTACACAATCACTGTATTTACTTATACATTCTTGGCAGAGGAACAGAACTCACTTAGTTCAGTTCAGGCAGGAAGACCTGCTGTCCTCACCCCCTGGTTGCAGAGGAGGGAGGGGATGTGTGCTGCATCCCTAACACCATGGATCATACTTCTTAGGCTGCTCACTTCAGTAGTGCTGTACTGAATGGCACAACTTTTAAACAATTAACCAATTGTTTTCTCTCTTAAAAAACACAAGCCAGAACATGCTGTATTTTTTTGCACTGAGAGCACAGATCGTATCACAGCTTCTAAGGCAGCAGGGTTTGTCTGCAACTTAACAGAAAAGTTGTAAAACAGTTGCTAGAAGATAAAGACAACAGATGCAGTGTTAGCACTAATATTCACTGTTTAATCTGTGGTGCAGTAGGTTTCCAACATGACTTTTGAGACAGAACACCACACATGCTGTCAGGTTTCTTATGTAATAAATAATACACCACACACCACATTCACTCTGCATTCTGTAGGGAAATACGAAATGCTGACAGGGAAGCTAAAAAGCCTCAACATGACGGCAGCTGTATTAACACCAACTTCTTTGAAACCAAGTTTAAAGATGCATCAAAGCTGCTCGTTTTCTTTAGAGGGAGGCTTTATTTTTTTAAGTTACATCTGCTGTTGAATGACCACTGTTAAGTTGACGTCCTACACCATATGCAAGGAAACTCCCCAGAACATCAGTGAATCAACAGAAGGTAGATATTCTAATACCTGGTTCAAGTGACCACAACTCTCTTATATGTGCAGCTCAGTCTGAAAGGCAGGCAGTTTTCCAGGCCTGGATGAATGGGAATTGCAGCAGGATAGAGCGAGGAGCAGGAAAAGACCCACTTCCACCTGGAGCTGCTTTTTATAAGCCTCCTTGCTACCAGTGCTTACGAGGATTGCCCCATGGGAGCCTTGCTTACAAAGGCACAAATGCATAGTTTATTCTTGATCCTGAAAAACAAAACCAAAAGGAGAAACAGAGGGATCATCTGTTCAGTTCACCATGCTGGAGAGACATTTTTCTTTCACAGCTCTTCACAAAGATTTAAGGCCAGCAAGCTGCAGATTCCCAAATAGAAGGAGCAGAAGCAGCAGTTATTCCAATAAAAGGGTCACTGTATTTGGGCCTTGGATTTCTGTCAAGCAGAAAATATAATTATACTCACAAGTTCTCCAGTGCCCATACCAGCATCATATCCAACACTTGAGGCTGTCCTAGGCCTTTTTTTTTTTTTACATGTTTATACAAAAGCACAACGGTATCATGAGGGTTATCATCAAAGCCAGTAAGTCCTTCAGCTTTCCTACCAATCCCTAGAAGCAATCTTCTGAAAAACAAAGATACCACTACACACACACAGACACACACACTCTAAAGTACTGAAAAAATTAAAGGCAATGTGTATTTTTAAACCCTGTTTCTCCCCCTTGCCTAAATGCCATAAAATCCCAGCAGCTTAAACTGCTGTAGGAACTTAAAAGCTATTATGATTCACTTCAAATTGTAAGTTTTACTACGTTTTTCACCTCCTTTAAAAATGAAACCCCAGATTCAGCTTTTAGCAGAAGTGAGACTATTGCTTCACCATGATTAGATATAAGCAAAGGAAAACAAACGAACTTGGGGCCTAACGCTGTTGACATTTGTTCCACACACTGTGCTTCACTGGGTACTGCTCAGCACTAGCACACATGGCAGTTTTTGCAAGATCATGGCCTTGTTTTAGTATAACACAATCAAGATAATTTTTACAAGGTCAGAAAGTTGGAATAAGAGGAAACAAAATCCAGGCCAGTTGTGCCTGGAATCAATTAGGCTTATGTGCTTTTCAGATGCTGCTTGTCTTTCTATTAAACTGCATTTCAATGTATACATACCATTAGTGTGCACTCAAAAGTATGCACTGCACACACTGTTTCTCCATTTATTTAATCTCACCTAAACTAGGGACGTCAGGAGGGTGAAAAAAGGAGAAGAGGTGTTCATCTCTGAGCACTGAAATGGTTTCACTTTGAGCTTACAGTTTAGTTAGCTGCCTCTTCAATGATGAGCTGCTCAGGATGTCCAGGCATGCCTGTGGTGTGCTCTATCTGTCCATAAAGCAAAGGGAAACTGAAGTTGTCATCCAGACAAATACCAACTATGCTCAACGTCAACTTTCAAGCGCTTCATTAAGACTTAGAGCAAAAAGAAAACATTATTTCATCTTTGTAAGATGAAAATTTACTGCATAAGCATGACATTTAGTATGAAACCAACCATGGAAGATTTTTCATTAATTGAAGTTGATTTTATGGGGAATTTGCAACTGTTCTATGTTGTTTTTTCTTTAGATGAGGCCAGGCTAGTTGATACTAAAATTGAAGACATCAGTACAGAAGGCACATACAGGGGTATAAATCAAATAGATTCTAGCTGCATTCATAGGTAAAACAGGCAACAGTAAAAATATTTACTTGTTGCTAATGTTGTGAAAAACTTTACATACATAAAAGTTGAATTCCTTAACCACTTAAAAATCAAAATATTTACCTCCACTGATTCTTTTTTCACCTTCATTTTGTCAAACCATCCTGGGTTCAGCTGTAACAGTTATTCTTCTTAGTAGCTGGTGCAGTGTTGTGTTTACAAAACTAAAAGGGGTTTTCCTCCACTACGGTAACTTTATAACATAAGTTGAAATTATTTTAGAGATAGCATTATAAATAATAAAATGTAGTCAGTTATGTTAAAACCCAAAACCTTGACTTTTCCAAGCATAATGTCTATATTGGGTCTCTACTGTAAATAGGCAGTCAACAGGGTAGGTATATACAGGTCAGCTATGCTTCAGGTGGAGCTGGGTCAGAGGGGTGAGCTCTGGGATGGGCTCTAGCAGGCTCGGGGTGGAGGAAAGAGGCTGAGCTGGCCTTGGGTGACTAGCAGAGCCCGATGTCACAGGGGCAACTTCACTCACCCCCAGCTCCCTGCACCCACACAACAGTGCGGCTCCACACCCGTGTAGTAAGGGGGGAACGCTCACCGCTCCCGGCGAGGCAAATACAGCGTGACGGACGGTCCCCGGATGTCCTGGATAGGCGGCCTGGCTTAAATACACCAACAGCTGCCACGGCTATTGTAACGCTGGGGAGGGAATCCGCATGCAAAGTGCTGGCCTGGCTTCCTGCCCCTTCCCAAACCTCTCCTTTAAAGGTTTAACCTCCTTTGGCGGCCTGGGCCCTGGAGCCGCGGTCACCTCAGGACGGGCCGCTGTGCGTTGGACCCGTTTCCTCAAGCCACCGGGTCGGCCGCTTCTGCCTGACGCCGCGCACACACGGCGGTAATTTGGACCGAGATGGGGAGGGACCCCAGCAGCCGCCACCGCCAACCGCGGACCCCCGACGGTGCTCGAAGAGGCGCCTGGGGCTGCGGCAGCACGCGGGCAGCGGGGAAGGGCGAGCAGCCGATGACAGCCGCCCCCCCCGGGCGGGCCCAGACCGCCATCCCCCCGACCCCACGGGACGGTGGTTGCCGTGGCGACGGCCGCGCTGAAGCGGCTGTCCCGGCCATCGGGCTAATCCCCCATCATCCCACAGGGCTGAAGGGAGCCACCGGCCTCCGCGGCCGCGCCCTCCCAGCCCGCTCCGCGCACGTCACCGCGGCCGGGCAGTCACCGCCAGGGGAAGGAGAGCCCGGCAGCGGTGATTGGGCGCGGCCACCGGCCAATGGGTTCCGCCGCCCTCCCGGCGCCCTCCCGCCCCTCGGCGGCGCAGCTCGGAGCGGAGCTGCACCAGAGCGCTCCTGTCAGTGTCCACGCTGGCCACCGGGCTGGTAGGGGCTGTGCTCGGTCAGGGCCGCCGTGTGCGGGGCCCGCTGCCGGCTGCCCCGCGCTGGCAAAGCTGCACCCGTTTAACTTCAGTCCCCTGTAGGCGTATTTATTTCGGTTTAATAGGTGTTTATGGTACGTTAGCCAGGACCTGTTCCTAATCAATCCGAGCAAAATCAGAATAACGCTGATTTACAGCGGCCGCGGGGGGCTCGGTGCCAGCCGGGCAGGTTTTACCTCACAACCGGCGGTGGCTCGGCGCAGGCGGGCCCTGGTATCCGGGCAGGCCCAAGCGGGACGGTTGGTCAGGCAGCTCGGGGCGTGGGAGAACGATGGATCTGCTCGGCGTGTGGTGTTTCACCCTCCCTGACCGCCCGCCCTAGGGATGGCAGGAACGAAAACACGCGGAGCACAGCAGTAGGGTGGAGAAAGAGGAAGTTCTGGCACATGGATACAGGGGAAAGGCTTTTTTCGGTCCTGCCTTATGGTAGGAGCACATGGTCGTGGTAACAAGCCATAGGGCTGGGAGGAAGAATTACCTCATGGAATTGCAAGCGCTTTCCAAGCGAAGGTGGAGTCTGGAGCAAACAGCAGATCCCAGCTGATAGTGGTTGATAAGCCTGTGGAGCATGCACACTGCTGCTCTGTCTACCTCAAACGCCTCCGTCTGTCCTTGGGGAGCAGCAAAAGGAGACGGCTCTAACAGACTGGCTCCCAGAGCCCAGATAATGAGAGAGGTCTCCTCCTTCCTGCAGGAAGCAAGCTCACTGCTTGGCTCATGAAGCAGTAGTTTCAGTAGCAGCTTTTCCTCTGTTGCAAACCTGAACAGATCCCTTTCGGGTTTGGTGAGCAACAGTAACTCAACGACTTTAGAACTTAAGAGCTCATCTGATATTGAAGGAAGACTGCTTTTTGCCTTGTATAGCAGTCGAACTAAACTGGAAAGGTAATGGGATGGAATGAAATTACATACACCTTCAACATAAAGCCCCAAAAGAAACAAAACCCCCACCACTCAGAGGGTGCTTGGCCAGAAAAGTTGGTAATAGGCAACTGCCTTTTTCTCCTGTGATGGTACTGAAGCCTTCTACTGCTAGTGGGTTACCTAGGAGAGGGGATTTTGTGGCCTCCATGCTGGCCTGTCAGTATGGGGGAACAGCCTTACCAAATGCTTTGTGCCTGGGGGTTCCTACCCCTAGCTGTGGTTATCCAGCACTGTGGTATGTGTCCATGGGGCACAGCTGGGTAAGCGTCCTCATGGCTCCTACACTCCTCCCAGCTCAACAGAGGTAAACAGGTGGGTCTGTAACCAACTATGTTAAGTTCATATAGCAGCAGTGTTACAAGCAAACATCACTTCCTCCAGAGCAGACAAACTGAAACTACTCTTTTTTACCAAGTAATAAAGGTCTTTCAGAAGAACAAGGACTGTAAATATGCTGCTCCCTTTCATGAATCATTCCCCCTAAACAGTCACCCACTCCCAAAACTCCAAGGAGGAAAGGAAAAGGTGGGAGAAGTAACGAAAAGGAAGAGAAGCAAAGTACAGAAAATGTGAAGAAACATATAAGAAACAAGACACAGAGCTCTGAAAACTGGAAATACAACTGAACTTGGATTGGAATCCAGAGAAAATACCAAAGTATTCGTTTATGATGCACAGTGGTCAGAATTTCTTCAGTGGTAGGGGTGCCCTTGCCTCTGAAGTTACATGGCTTTATAGAAAACCATTGGACAGGATTACAGTATAGCACATACTTCACGGATTTCATTTCTGCTTCACATCAGTAGCTATGGAAGATACCACAAGCGTTTTAGTTTCTGTGCAGGAATGCTTGGCTTGGGAGACAAGGGTTGACCAACACCGAACAGGGAGAATCCACACAGCCTCCCCGCTGGATTTCTGTACCCCACTGATGGCCCACAGACCTTCGTGAGGGATCAGAGAGCTCAGATGAGTGGGTCACACTTTGCTCAAAGGTGGCTGGACTGATGCTGAAGGCCACCAGAAGCACAAATTTTTTTGTTCCCATATTCTCTATCCTAAGCACTTTTGACATGAACCTAACCAGCAACCCGTGAGTGAAGTCCTAGCATCCTCACAAATTAAAATGTGGTAGAAGAAACAGAAAAATCTGCTTCCAACTACATTTGAGACATTGGTACACAATAATCCTAGACATGGGTCGTATGTGAATTCAGGTATTTTTTAAGCCAGCACTTGGTAAGTTAACTTTACCCATGCCCTCTGCTGCTGTTTCTGTTCCCATCTCTGCTCCTACAAACCACTCGTACCTGTCCTCAGATTCTGGACACTGCCTCAACTCTGGTCTTCGTGTTGCCAACAGCAACAGGGTGCCAAAATTCAAAGGTTCCTCCATCAGAGCCACCCAGTGCTTTGGTCCTTGTGCAGCAGTAGCAGCTCTCCCGGTGCTGGTGCTCAGCTGCTGTGTCCTGCTTTTTAAACTGACAGCCTCTCCCTGCATCACCTTCATGGGCAACCACAAGCAACCCCATGGGTTGTCCTCCTGAGCACCCTTCTTATGTAACTGTCTTGTAAGTAACTTGCAGACATTTTCCACATCTGAAAATGCTTTCCCAAGCTATAATCTGAAAATATGCCCTCTGCTTGAGTATTTTAACTTGGACAAATTTATAATCATAGAATCATAGAATAGTTAGGGCTGGAAAGGACCTTAAGATCATCAAGTTCCAACCCCCCTGCCATGGGCAGGGACACCTCACACTAAACCATGCCACCCAAGGCTTCATCCAACCTGGCCTTGAACATTGCCAGGGATGCAGCATTCATAACTTACCTGGGCAACCCATTCCAGTGCCTCACCACCATAACAGGAAAGAATTTCCTTCTTATATCCAATCTAAACTTCCCCTTTTTAACACATTACCCCTTGTCCTGTCACTATAGTCCCTAATGAAGAGTCCCTCCCCAGCAGCCTCCTTCATCCCCAGCCCCCCTTCAGATACTGGAAGGCTGCTATGAGGTCTCCACGCAGCCTTCTCTTCTCCAGGCTCAACAGCCCTGATTTTCTCAGCCGATCTTCATACGGGAGGTGCTCCAGTCCCCTGATCATCCTCGTGGCCCTCCTCCGGACTTGTTCGAACAGTTCCATGTCCTTTTATGCTGAGGACACCAGAACTGCACACAATACTCCAGGTGAGGTCTCACAAAAGCACAGTAGAGGGGCAGGATCGCCTCCTTCCACCTGCTGGTCACGCTCCTTTTGATGCAGCCCAGGATATGGTTGGCTTTCTGGGCTGCGAGCACACTGAAGCCAGCTCATGTTCATTTTCTCATCAACCAATACCCCCAAGTCCTTCTCTGCAGGGCTGCTCTGAATCTCTTCTTTGCCCAACCTGTAGCTGTGCCTGGGATTGCTCCGACCCAGGTGTGGGACCTTGCACTTGGCATGGTTAAACTTCATGAGGTTGGCATCAAGCTCAATAATGACAATTGCTAGAATCGTACCTTGCTCTCTTCTGAGCTGTCCTCGTATGGATTTTCCTGCCTCCCACTTTTTTATGTGTAAGTGTAGGAAAAGTAAATGATCAGTTTCCACTTAGTTCAATACATGGTACTAAGCTTCAGTTAAGTATGAAAGGCTAATTAGATCCTGCTATAATTCACACCAAATGTACCACGGCCCTGACCACCACCAAGATTCTGCCCAATATAAACATTTATACCTCCAACTCTTCAGAAAAGGAATTTTAAAAATCAGAACAATGCTGTGGAGTGGAAAGAACCCCAAAACATGCTTATGCATTGATTCATCTACGCTCATGTTGCCACAGCCCATTTTAGAAGTGTAATTTGGAATAGGAATTCAAACAGATGTACAGTGTAGGGGCATGGATTCTACATGAACTTTTGAGCAGATTTTCCCTATGCCTCATTTCACCTCTACATCACATAGAGCCACACGATGTAGTAGTGAAATCCCGTGTCCAAGTATCAGATGCATGTCCCAGTTTAGTGGTCAAAACAATTTTTTGGAAATACTTATCTCCACAACAGTGAGATCTGCAGTTCTGAAGGCTGCAATGAAACACAATGTTTAAAGGTTTATTTTTAAGTGAACAGTTAAGTGAACAGAATATACCTGATAGTATAGAATATTTCTTTAATCAGCACTCCCCTGCCAAAAGTTTTTTAGGCTGGGGTAGAACTGGCTGCAGCAGATGCTGGTTTTGTCTTCTCCAGCTTGGATTGCCCGCGGTATGGCTGCTACAGCAGCAGCCTCTGTCCTCAAGCCAATCCTCTAGCAGGAACACTTCCCCCCCTTCCTCTCCTCCTCCAGCTGCTAAGAAGCGAAGAATAAACTTTTAGCTTCGCCCCTCCTTTATTGGAAGGGGAATAGGGTAATATGCTGTAATTGGTTTTTCATGTTTGCCAAGAGTCTGTTTCCTCTTATCATCCACAATATTTAACATGTCTTGTAATAGTTCCAAACATAATAAAATCTGTCCCAAGAATAAAAATGATAGATCCACAACATGCTGCTTTTTTGTCATGGTCTTGGTTTTGTAACATTCTGTTAGTAGTTTTTATTGCCTAATGTTGTGGTTTCTTTCATATGCAGCAGACCCAGTAAAGACATTTCATCAGCTCCTTACACAGCAGCAGTCAGGATTATTTACAAATGGAGATTTCAGTACCACATTAAAATAAATCACCACTGGGTCCTGCTAAAGTTACACTGCAGCAGTGTGGCAGAAGAAAACTCAGAGATTCCAGGGGAGGAGCGCTAAGTATATACAAATCTTATGCATGATCCAGCAAACAAATTTCGTAAGATAGCCAAATAAAACCTGTTAGTCTTCCTTTTTGTCCCGTATCTCCTCCTATGCAATAGCAGATGAGGAATAGGCAAATTACATCCCCCCACACATACAAAACAATATCCACCACATGTGTAACAAGTAACAGAACACAGGCAATACCTCCCTCATGATTTTTGTATCATGAGGCAAGATCAAGAGCATCGTTTGGAAGGGACTTTAAGATCATCTAGTTCCAACTGCCCTGCCATGAGCAGGGACACCTCCTACTGGACCAGACTGCTCAAAGTCCCATCCAGACTGTCCTTAAAAACCTCCAGGGATGGGGCACAGTATATCCCTCTCTCCCTATGCCCCATCCTTCCATCCCCAAAGCAAATGCCCATGCTGGGCAAACTCCCTTACATGTAGGTATAAAGGATGTGGAACAATAGAGATGGAGAGCAGCACTTTGCTCACCGGATTCAGTTTGAATGAAAGAATACTAGAATAGACTGGACAAAAAGGAGATAATACACAAGAGAAACCTGATTTAGGAGGAAAAAACCCCCCCAAACCCAAACAACTAACATGCCTCTCCTCCCCCCCAAAAAACCCCAAAACAACAACCAACCAAAGACACCAAACAAAACACCTGAGAAAGCTGCATGATAATCAGTACTGTCAAAAGAACAGTCCATCAAGAGGAATCACCATATTGGGCATCAGCATTTACAATACTCTACTGGCAACAACTCTGAGAAAAATCTAGGCATGTTCAGAGACTCCGACTTAGAATGATTACTTTAAGAAACAAACTTTTAATGTCCAGTATAATCTTTTGATATTACCAAGTTGTATTGATGCACCTTTTTCCACTCAGATTCAATTTCACTGTAACCTCAAGCCTGATAACGAGTTTTTCCTTTCTTCACAAGCACAGACTTAGTGCTCCACCAGTCACGGGTAAACTCTTACAGCAGAAATACCTTTCCCAACTTAAAACGTATGC